TCCGTAAATGGGTATCAATAATAACTCCATAATTTCAACTCCTTTGAATAGACATCCATAATTCGAAGCTATTCCTTTGTGTTTATCTTAAAACCAATACTCCAACAAAGCATCAAAATAAACTCCATAATTAAATAATAATAATCTTTAGAAGTGGAAAACCTCAAATATTATAAAACTGCATAATATATGTTTAGGAGCGAATCTAGGAAGTAAAAGAAAAAAATTTATACCTAACTTTACTAAACCAGAAAGGCAATAGAAGCTATACCTGCTATAACATCATAAATAATTTCAAACTGGTATGATATACATAGCAGAAAACAAAGTATCATTGTTTTCTATCTAATATAGTTTTGATCGCGCAGGTTATTGTCTCGATTGTAAAATGGCCCGGCATGGCCAGGTGGTTAAGGCGCTCGACTCGCAATCTGAGGGTCGTGGGTTCGAATTCCTGTCACACTCATCATGTTCGCCCTTTCAGCCGTGGGGGCGTTATAATGTGACGGTCAATCTCACTATTCGTTGGTAAAAGAGTAGCTCAAGAGTTGGCGGTGGGTGGTGATGACTAGCTGCCTTCCCTCTAGTCTTACACTGCTAAATTAGGGACGGCTAGCGCAGATAGACCTCGTGTAGCTTTGCGCGAAATTCAAAACAAACAAACAAACGATTGTAAAAATCTTGTATACTCTATATCGGAAAGATGGAATTCTTTATTAGACGCCCCCACCCAGTATCATAGCGGAATGTATGCGGACTTATAACGCTAGAAACTGGGTTTCGATACCCGTGGTGAGTAGAGCACAGATTGCTCATTGTGTAGCATTGTATTTAACTACAAACAAACTTTATTAGAAAAAATACAAATATCTTTAACTTTTACCCAACGAAATTATTACAATTTGACATTGATTGAAATGAAAACTGAAGTACCCTATCATTTGGTTTATGCCATAAAATGTACTTTAACATACACTAGAAGTTGCTATGTTTAAAATAGTTATGATTCTCTGGGTGATAATATCCTACCAATTTGTAATTATACAGCTGCCTTTTAAAGTCGCGAGTCTCTTATATTTGTTCACGTTGTAGGTGCTTATTCACATTAGAAAATGTCGGTACAGTATCTGAATGAAATCATAGAATATAACTCAGCATTAGTCGTATGGCACGTTCACTCTTTGGATGTTATCATTCAGATATTACAGGAATAGAGCTGAAGTTATGATGACAGAGATGAAATATGCATGTGTTATAGAGATATAACATGTAACATGTTTCTTTTGTGAAGTAAATATAATACCAATCTGACCGTATGATGTAAGTAACGATTATCTGCTACAATTTAGTTCCAAGAGCAGCAAGCTCTGTTCTTGAATTTCGAGAATTGTCCTTCTATCATTACCACCATCTGATGGTACTTTTATGGCAAACAGAATAAGCACCAATCGGAGTCACAGCGAAGACACATGAAATGGTAAGATTTCCTTCACTTGATAATGATAGTCAAGTGGTAGTTTTAGGTTTGTCGAGATATTTGTTAACTCCAAATTGCAATGGATTTCAACATGTATAATGAGCTTGTCATTCAAGCTACTGATAAATCAAACTTTTACTGTATTTTAACACATTATGGATTTCTTTAAGAGTTGGTTTACAATTTTTCCTGAATATAACCTGTATTTATCATTTTGTTTGTTCTGTGGTTACGTTACTTTCATAATAGATTGTTATAAAAACATTGTTTTATATATATAAATCAATGTTTCTTGAATTTCACGCAAAGCTACACGAGGGCTATCTGCACTAGCCGTCCCTAATTTAGCAGTGTAAGACTAGAGGGAAGGCAGCTAGTCATCACCACCCACCGCCAACTCTTGAGCTACTCTTTTACTAACGAATAGTGGGATTGACCGTCACATTATAACGCCCCCACGGCTGAAAGGGCGAACATGTTTGGTGTGACGGAGATTCGAACCCGCGACCATCAGATTGCGAGTCGAGTGCCTTAACCACCTGATCATGCCAGGCCACATATAAATGAAAAAACATTTTTCAATCATTGATTACTCTGAGTGTGAGAAATAATATTTAGGTGAATTAGATTCTATGCCAAATTATACAACCTGACATTGGAGTATTTTTTTCTGATATTAAGAAGCAGGATTTTTAAACAAACATTGGTAGACGTAATTTTCAACGTTGAAACTCTTATTTATTAATTTTTCGATATGTTTTGGTGTAAAATTGATGATTTGATTTCTTAGTTTGTCTATGTCTCTAATCAATGACAATATATTTAGAAAAGTAAAACTTTCTTTCTTGAGAACCTAATTGTAAGGTCATCCATCCAGAACTATTGCTGAATCATAATCTTCACCGACTTTTCGTATACTTCCTTTTCAGTTAATAATGATACTTTTCCATTTCTTTCTTTTGAGAATCTGTGAAGTAGCTTTATGATCACTTATACTGATGGAAGACACAAATTCAATTTACACGGAAATTATATAAAACCTGTTTTATTCTGGAAGTTGGTGTGAAGTTGAAAAACTTATTTGCCCCTGGCGCTTTACCACTCATTGTCGAAACTTGAAAAATAATAGCTGTAGCACCACTGGGAATTACCAATGAACGAGGCTTTATATTAAATTCTAGAAACAAGTCCGAGTGTGACTACAAGTTGAGTTTGCCTTCATGCTAAGGTTTTGTTCTTCAAGCCCGAACGAATTAGGCTGTAATTAGGTGAGCAGTGCTACAGAATATTTTCTCCAAATTGAAATCAAAGTCTGAGCAAATTATATTTCATTCGAAAATTAGCTGATAACGTTTGTTCAATCTACTGAAAGAAAACATTTTCAAAAAGACAAAGAAAACCACAGCGTTACATTGTATTTCTCGATATTGGTCTCATAATTCGTTTTGAAACGGAATTTAAAAAATGCAACGTGAGCATTTTATTTTGTTGCCTTCTTTTGAACTTTAACATACGCATTCACCAAGAAATCTTCTCCGGTGTGAAACTAGTCTTTAGCCTAAGAAAAGGTAACAGGTTTAACGTTATGTATGTGAAACGCTTTGCTAAAACATCAATACACAATCATTTTTCCTATGGTAAACGTACATTATGTGTAAGCTATGTAAAATGTATTAATATTTCTGGTGTTTAAATACTTTATATCATTACGGAAGAAAGTTACGTTTGCATCTGGGGGAAGGGGGTACCACCTTGACAAATTACCACAATTGTATAACCTCATATCTGTCATTTCTTTTATTTATCAGCGAGATGTGTTTATGGCTCTAGCTTTGTTATTAAAATGAATATTTAAAAAATATGTATACAGATATTGATATGATAAAATTATACGCAGAAAGTTAAAATTTGTTGTATTACTTTTTCACACATGTGTGAAGAAAAGATAACATAACGCAGCACATCGTCTTACCTCAAAAGAAATTTTAAAATCTGACACATTAAATGTCCTACATTTCTTCTAGGTTACTTTTTGTTTTTCCCGAATTATAACTTGTACCACGTTTTATTTATCTTTTCTAAAGCTAAGTCTGAAATTCTTCAATAAATATACATATATATATATATATAAAGGAAACTAGCTGATAACTCGGCAAGAAGTGTTTTACTATCGGTTTTATGACACAAGTATCATTCCTCAGGTATATCTGTTCCTCTAGCGTATGTTGATTTCTGCTTTAAAAAAATAAAATGCACAAAAGATCGTTGCATTAGGAGATTTGACAGGTATGTGGTCTAATGGGAGTTCTTTTATTACAGTTTATTCTTACATTTTTTCTCATGAAAACAGAAGTGGATTTCGAGATGTGAATGAAGGCTTGAGAACTAATATCAAAATTGTTTAATATCTTGTTAATGGTGCCAGGAGATACACCCAGGTTTATCGCAATGAGTTGTTGGGTTGGAGGATTCTGTTTCGTAGCCACAACCTTCCATTTATAGACAAAGCATTGCTCGAGATTGTGTTGGGTTAATGGTTTCACCGCCCCGTTGTTGTCCTAATCGCTCTGTTTTACGAGTTTTTCTCTTCCGAGGAGAACACTGACCACGCCTTTCTTCTTTGGCTTTACTTGTTAACAGTTTCAATATAGAAATGTCCTTTCTCTGAAAGTACTGTAATGTATATCCTGCCAGCTAAAAATCTATTAATAGTGACATTACATGGCCAATGGCCAAGAATTCTCCATAACCAAATAATATATAGTTTTTAAATATGTCCTCTGTGGGATACGTTACAGTATTAGTGTATCCAAAATCTTCGTTTTAGACTGCTTACGAGATAAAATAACTTGTTTTCTTTGTTGTTCTTTTTTTATGAGAGTTAATTCTGTAACTTCCTTAAATTGTTGTTCAATGTTCAATAAACTGACATTACATTGTCTTTTATTTACTTTTCTAAGATCAGTTTTAATACTTTTTGGGTTTGTTTCATTTCTGTTATGCACTTCATTGGAGTGATTTCAAAATTAATCATTTCAATATATGTATATAATTATCACCTTTTTTTTTTAAAGAAAGTGCAGCTTTATTTCTTGTAACATGGCTTTAAGCATGATTGTGACGTGACTTCAAAATGTCCTTGCTAGCATCCCTATACTGCATTCAATTAAGACATTTGTTTGTTTGTTTATTTGTTTGATTGTAACTAAACATAAAGCTACGCAATTGGCTATCTGTGCTCTGCCCACCACAGGTATCAATAACCGGCTTCTAGCGTTGTAAGTCCGCAGATATACCGCTGTGCCACTGGAGGGCAAGACATATGAAATAAACGTTACAAGAAAATACTTGAAACACATTTGATATAAATTCATTCTGTCTTCCAGAACAATGTTAGACTGGCATGCGAATATACTGTTTACTAGAGCCAAAGAGTATTACTTTATTATTGTTGTTTTGTTTAAATATTCTAAATAATAATATGTATTAAGTTGATTTACATGTTGTTGTTTTTTCTAAACAGAGTATTCCGTCTCCTGTGAACATCAAAGGGCCGCTAAAAGGTTCAAAGAAAGCTCCAGAGTAAGTAAAGAATTAGATTATCTTTTAAATATAGGCTGAAAACACAAAATCTGGTTTTTTATCACCACAGAACGAAAATATCTACTGTTGTGGTTTTTGTTTAGACACACAAATATATTACCATTCTTTTTTTTTTTTTTTGTTAAAACATTATTTGAGTCTCTTCATCTTTCCAACTAGATGTATCATTCAGATATAGATATTTGTTTTGCTATCTGGTGTAAGCTAGTATGTTTTTCTGTTACAACTTACGCTACATCAAGGTAAAAAAGAAAATAAAAATAATGTTAAATATAACTGGAAAGCTAGACAGCAACTTTATTTTTTAAACTGTATTAAGATTTGTGAGTAAATGAAACTGTTACTGTGTGCGTACTAGTTAGAATTTCTTCAGATTATTGTATCAAAGTAGTTATGGGTATTGCATATAAAAGTATGTCTTCAATACAACTTGATCGTTTTGTTTTACAGCAAAACTACATTGTGCTATCTGCAGTGGGGAATCGAACCCAGAATCTTAACATTGTAAATCTATAACCTTACCGTTGTCCCATCGGGGGACCAATAAAATCTTAGAATTATACAGAAGACCTGGAAATATTAGCTGTATTTAAGATTTATAAAAAAACTAGAGTTGCTTTAAATAGTGATTATTCAGTATACGATTATTGAACAAGTATGTCTTTTTAATTAAAAGTTCAGAGCTGGTTGATATAACTCAATCCAAAAAAAAACTTTCTGTTGGATTTTGATGTTTCTTTATTCTTCCAAACAACCAGCCAATTGTGTTTATTAGTACTTCATACCTTTAAATGTTGTCTAGTTAGATATAGTAAAATATTCTTGGAAGTTTGATATATTATATAGGTCAAAATAAAAACTGTTTGAGAAAAAGCTTTTTAATTAAGCGAAAAATGGTGAGTATGTCTGATTATCATTTTTACATAAATATTTATTGAAAAATAAAGAATCGCTGAAGGTGGAGGATGAAAGTACGAATGTGATAAATAGCAGCTAGAGATAATGAATGACCTGTGAACCAGTTTTCTTTGCAGTTTCCTTCCACTTCAATTATGATAGAGCACTGAGACCACTAGCAGTATCATTTATCAAATATCTGTGTTTGGCTGTCTAAAACTGAAAGATACGTTTAAACTGACTGTTCGCATCATAGAATGTAATCTTCTAACGAATATCATGATGGATAGATGTTGCGAACAACTGTGAAGTGGAGCACGTGTCCCATTGGGTCTTCATAGAAAAGTAGAGGAAACTGAGTGACAATTATTATAGTACTTTCATCGTGATAGGCAATCAATATAGCTCAAGTTCTTTGTATGTAATCAACAAAGTAAGCCGGTTAAAATATGGAAGTTAAAAGTAACAACAAGCATAAGCCAATGGGGGGTACAAATCGCTATGTGTTATTATCTGATTAATTAAGATTGGAATGGCAAAGTTACAGATTTTATTACCGTGGACGCTGAGAAACCATTTCATTTCTGTGTCAATTTAGGTTCAAGACACTTAATTACGTGGGTGGGATTTGTACCAGTAAAGTTTTTATATTTCCGTTCAGCTCTGTATAAACTAATAACATACTTTTGTTAGTCTAAATTACATTTAAAAGACAATATTTGTTCTTTGTTAATCTTTAATTTAACACTATGAATTATAAATTTGAAATACTTAAATCCAGTAGTCAATTTAATACATTAAAATATAAAAATACACATAACACGTTTTTAATACAGCTAGTAGTGAGGTGATCAGGGTTAGCCATAATGTATATTTTTGTTATTCTACGTAGTTATGCTCACTACTGTTGTGGTATTGATTCGAATTAATGACACATCAAACTCATCAAATGTATAATTCATTAAGTATGGTGTATGTAATACAGGGATAAATACGTTGTATTAGAAGGATTTTGCATATGCAAACCAGCAAGTCACCTTATAACAACAGTCTATATAAAGTCGTGATGGAACTACTTGTATCAGAACTACTATATATCTATATATTATCTTATCCTTATTTGTCGTTTCGTTCGTTGTGTGACACCACCAAAAAGTGGTTGCTTTTGGGAAGGTTATTTAACAGTCCTTTCACGCGCAAAATATTCGTACATACTCATAAAAATGAATTCATGTCGAGAATTTACAATTACTCTGACGGGTACGTTTCTTATACATAATGGAATTGGAAAACAAAGGAACGTGGATCAACTTGGGACACTAGAACATTCATAAAGAGACCTGCAACAAGTCACATCCCAGATGAGGTAAGCAAACTGTGGCATCTTGTAACAGTTGAAAATCCACGAATACAAAGGCCAGTGGCACAAGCCGTCCAGGCAACACTACACAACATAATCAAGAAGGATTTACACCTGAAAAAGTAACATAACTGACGTCATGTGTACACAGTTTGATTCAACAACATATTGGCTCAACTGTAGCTGGAAAATGAACCGAGTTTTTATGCTATTTTATAAGAATATATACCGATCAAGCCGACGGATACAGCGCTTGTGAATTTCTGTGCAATCGTACTATTGGAATAGCGCTGGAAAACCGTCATCTTCGTACACTAGTTAATTGTGTAAGAGTTACAAGAAAGAATGGTGTGCTTTGGACACAACATTCTCACGGAATACTTCGTTTGTTTGTTTGTTTTGAATTTCGC